CGCGACGGGGACACTCCGGTGTCCCCAAAAGAGGGGGACAGGTCTCGCTGCAGCCCCCAACCCCCTCCCCCGAGAAATCGGGGCTCCCCCCATTCCTGTCACTGTCACTGTCCCCACCCTCTTGCCACTGTCGCTGTCACCGTCCCCCCCACGGGGGACTTTTAACCTATGCAAAGAATAAAATGTGAGGAAGAGGAGGGTGGTCTGTGGGTTCGGGGGGTGAAGGGGATTTAGGGAGGAGACCCCCGAGGGGGAGGGGGTGGATGGATCCCCCCCACCCCAATTAAATCAGCGCCGGGGGTCGCCGGGACAGCGCTGTCCCTCCTGGGGTGGGGACAAGGGGGACCCCAGGGTGGGGTGGGGGGTTGGGAACGGCTCCATCCCTTCCCCCCCACTCCGTTCCAGGTCTCCCATCTCCGATTTGGGGCATTCCCATGAAATTCCCGTTAATTTGTCACATTCCCATGAAATTCCCGTTAATTTTTCACTCGTTCATTTGTCACCCGTTCATTTGCCACCCGTTAATTTGTCACCCGTTAATTTGTCACCCGTTAATTTGCCCCCCGTTAATTTGTCCGCCGTTATTTGCCCTCCGTTAATTTTTCCCCCGTTAATTTGTTCCCCATTAATTTTGCCCCCGTTAATTTGTCACCCGTAAATTTGTCACCCGTTAATTTACTCCCCGTTAATTTGTCCCCCGTTAATTTGTCACCCGTTAATTGGCCTCCCGTTAATTTACCCCCCGTTAATTTGTCCCCCATTAATTTTCCCTCCTTTAATTTTGTCCCCGTTCATTTGTCACCCGTAATTTGTCCCCGTTAGTTTGTCCCCCATTATTTTGCCCCCCGTTAATTTGTCCCCCGTTAATCTGGGGCTCAGCCCCGGCAGATCCGCGAACGGAGATTAAAGCTCTTGGGGAGGGGGGATTTTAAGAGTTTAAAATGTGCGGTTTTGGGGGGGGTCGCGGGCGGATTTCGGGGGGTTCGGAGCGCCCGGGAATGCCGCGATCCGGAGCAGAAATAGCTCCTCGGAAAGAAAAACAGCGGCGGTGGCGCGGGGCCAGGGCCCAGGGGACACGGCGGGGTCGGGCTCCGCAGACTTATTAGGGAAAGGACGATGGTCCCGGGGGGAACCGGGGGGGACCGGAGGGGGACCCAGGGAGGGACTGGGGGGCCCCTCCTGCCCGGTTTTCCGTGTGGGAGCGGCAATTCCCGGGCTGCTCCA